AACAGCGGGGCCTCCTGTTTGTTTATTCGCCGCGTGAGAACGCACGTCTCCACCCTCGACCGTGACCTCCATCCTCGGCGCGACCTCCAAGGGTGCACGCGCCCCCCGGGGCGGAGACCGTGGCAGACGCAGGCCACAGGGGCGCTCTGTTTAGGGGTCCAAGTAGCAGAGGCTGTGGGTCCGATGCAGGTCTCAGCTGCCATGGTTCCGTGCGATCCTGATTTGGGGGCCGGTCGTGGGGCCGAGGCATAAATAAGGCTGCTCTTTGGAGCTTCCTGGATCCTTTCCCGTTCTCACTCCTCTTTCCCGCCTCTCCTCCCTCTTTGGAGTGCTCTTCATGCTCCAGTCTGGAGCGGTGCTGAGAGGGGCTTCTAATCCACCCCCCCCTCCCACCCAGTCATTAGTGAGAGCCTGCCGTGTCCTGGGCCCCCTGCTAGGCCCAGTGCACAAGCTCAGTAACACGGGCGCTGGCCTTGGGCTTGAGCATCTGCCAGCACCCTCTGGAGCCCCTTTGCAAAGCCACCCAATTCCGGAAATAATGGGGGGAGCCCCAGTCCAGCAGGAGAGCCCTGGACGGGACCTGGGCTGGCCAGCAGGAGCATCAGGTGCTGAGGCGATCCTGAGTCCACTTCAGCCAGGACAGGGACAGTGGCCACATTTTTATTGGTTTTTTTTTTTTTTTTTTTTTGAGAGAGAAACATTGATTTGTTGTTTCACCTATTGATGCATTCATTGGTTGCTTATTGCATGTGCCCTGGCTGGAGATGGAACCCACAACCTTGTGTATCAGGATGACCCTCTAACCAACTGAGCGGCCAGCTGGGGCCTGGGGACAGAGCCCTGCAGAGTTCTGCTGTGGGCCCTCCGCCCTCTGAAATGTCTTCTCCTAGAAAACCCCAGACATGAGCTCAGGACGCCCCCTTGTTTCCGTGACCTGTCATCCCCCGGGGCTGTCCCTCCCTGTGACAGCTCGCCAGGCTCTGCTCTGTCCGGGAGGGGGGTGGGGCGGCTTCACAGGGCCTGTGCCATCCAGGGGTGCCCTTACCTGGTCATGCTCTTACACAGTACCGAAGGGGAGGCCAGTTCCATGTCCACAGGAGGCGAGACGTAGCCCGTGGGGCCGTGAGAAGGCGGGAGGGCAGGAGGGATTCCCGCCACCCCCACCAGGGCGGGGCAGGCCCTCCCCGCCGTCTCCTTCCCCCTCACAGGCCCGGAGCCCGCCCTCCGCCTCCCCCCTGCCACTTCAAACCCTCGGCCGGGGCCCTGGGAATGTTGTTCTTTCCCATTTAGAGACATTCCACTCCGTGTGTAATTAAATGTGTGGGATTGAATTAATGTTTTCTCCCGAGCAGTTTTGGCAGCCTAAGACCCCAGGGTCTGGCTAGTGTAAAGCAAACACGCACTTCTCTGAGACCCTCCCTTCCTCTCCCTGTTCCTGCTCTTCTGCCAAGAATCTCCCTCCTCCTTCGTCCTCCGCAGTCATCCTCGGGCCTCGCCTTGGGATGGGAGGGCCCCCGAGGCTGTCCAGACCCTCCGTTCTCCTGTGGGTGTTGGAGTCTTCCGCTGTCCCCTCTGGGTGGTGCCACCCTCATCTGCAGGAGCATCCTCCTTGCCCTTGGCGAGCTCCGGTGGCGCTGACCAAGGGCGGCAGGAAGTTCCACGGGAAATGAGTGTGGTTCCCGCCAAGGGCTGTCACCTCTCTCCCAGGGAGGAGGGGCAGGGGCCAGGGAGGCTGGTGTGGAGGAGGGCATTCGGCCTCCCCATCTGTGGCACTTGGGGTAGCAACACACAGTGTTGAAGAGAGTCCAGAAGATGAATGAGGCAACTCATGGTGAGAGCTTAGCCCAGTGCCTGGCTTGGGGAACGTTCTCACTCAGTGGCGGCCATTTTGTTATTAATAAAGGCACCAGGGCCTGGCTGGTGTGGCTCAGTGGTGAAACATCGACCTATGAGCCAGGAGGTAACGGTTCAATTCCCGGTCAGGACACATGCCCTAGTTGTGTGCAGGAGGCAGCCGATCCATGCTTCTCTCTCATCATTGATGTTTCTCTCTCTCTCTCTCTCTCTCTCTCTCTCTCTCTCTTCCTTCCTCTCCGAAATCAATACATATTTTTTTTATAAAAAGGGACCAGGGGACAGCCATAAGGTAAAACAGACAAGCACGGAGGAAGGTGCAGCTGATGGGGACCCACTTTGAGACGGGGAGTTACCGTGGTTCAGGGATGAGGGGAAGGCAGTGCTTAGGAGATCCTGTCGGGATGAGGTGACAGAGCAGCTGGCCAGCCTTAGGGATGCCGGGAGGGCCCGCATCTGGTCCCCGAGGGGACAGCCTTCAGGGAAGGACCAGCTCAGGCTGCCGCACGCATGGCCTCGTGGGACAGTCACCCGGCAGAGCTGCAGGACCGCCAGGGAACTGCTGCCGAGGCGTCCTGGGCCTGGAGCAGGCGGCTTTGGGGACTGACCCACGGTTATTTATAGTCGCAGACGCCAGGGAATCTGGTCTTTCTCTGCCGATCAGTAGCCACCTCTGGTAGGTGGTGGTCTCTGTCTTGATGTCTTCATCCCAGAATCTGGCCAGCGTCTGCCCACTGCCTGCTTTGAACTCTGAAGGAGTTTGAGGAGGGACATGGCGGAGGCAGGCTTGGACGGCCTGTGTATGACCCCTTGCGTTGGAGCTGGTTTCCCTCTTGGTTTTTTTAAATTTTTATTTTTATTTATTTATTTATTTTTTTATTTCAGAGAGGAAGGGAGAATGAAAGAGAGAAAGAAACTTCCATGATGAGAGAGAATCCTGGATCGGCTTCCTCCTGCACACCCCTCCCTGGGGATCGAGGGCACAACCCGGACATGTGCCCTGGCCAGGAATCGAACCGTGACCTCTTGGTTCGTAGGTTGACACTCAGTCTCGGAGCCACACCTGCTGGCTCCCCTCTGAGCAACATCAGGCCATGTTATTTCCAGGGAATGTCACCGTCCTTGCCCAGGGTTCTTTCCAAGCCCCTGTGTGTGTGCAGGTGTATTTATCTCATGGTTTTGTTTAGATGAGAACATCGCAGAAAGGGAGGAAACGTACTTTTGTTAAATGCCCATTATGTTTCAGACATTTCCTGTTATCTGTTATTTAAAAGAGTAGGAGGGAGGATAAGGCACAGGGTCAGGATTCAAACACAGACCTGGCTCTTTCCCCAGTCCTCACTCATTCGGTGATACCGTTTTGTGTGAGTGTTATGCCTCCTCTTCATCCCAGGGCAGCGGGTCTGGAGTAATCTATGCCTCCATTTTCCAAGAACACAGAAGTGAGGCTGACCGTGGCCACCTGTGTCTCTGGCCATGTCTGTCTGTCCAGTGGATTGACCGGTGCAGGTCACAGAAGGCGCTGCACGTGAACAGAGGCAGGAGAGCGGATGACCCCAGCCTGCCCTCTGACCTCTCAGGGCTCTGAGGTGGCAGGTGGCATCTCGGGTTAGCAACCCTGCCTTGGGCCAGGCTTGCTGCCCGCCTGGGCGACCTCGCAGGAGTGACTCCTACACGCGCGCGCACACACACACACACACACACACACACACACACACACGGCGGCGTCATCTTGGCCCTCGGATGGAGCAGGGACGGAGACGCAGAGATTGGCATCCTGTACCTGTCTGATGAGCCTGCTGTCCGATGGAGACAGTGGCTTCTTCCCGTGGAACGCAGGCAGTGGCTCTCTTGCAAAAAAGGAGTTTGGGAAAAGCCGGGCCTGAAAGTGCCAGGGACCCTTTCATCTCCCCAAGACGCCTCCTCGCTGTCTGCTGGCCTGTTTTCTCTCCAGCCGCCCGCATTGCTGGGGACTGACTGCGAGGGCTTCCCACGCCCAGGCTGTGCAGGCCCCCTGCCCGCCCTCCTCTCCCCCCGCTCCCCCAGTGTCCCGGCGTCTGAGCTTGGTGACCCAGACGCTGCCGGGCTGGCCCGCCAGGCAGTAAAAGGAGATGGATGCCCTCTCCTCCTAGGGAAATCCATCACTTTTTAGCATGTGGGTCAGAGGGCGGCACCAGCGGCAGCTCTGAGCAGTACGGCGTGAGCTAGAAATAAGCGCAGAAAGAGGCCCAGACAGACGCCTGGACGTCAGAAATAGCCCAGCCTGCTCCAGCCCCTCCTCCCGCACCTCCTCCCGGGGCCTCCCGGAAGGGGCGCCCACCCTTCCCTTGGGAAGATGCTGGGCTAGAGTGCCCGGAGGAGCGGGAGGTGGAGGGCCGAGCTGCTGTGGCCCTCATCCTCTCGGCGGCTGCAGGGAAGGAACTCACAGGACACGCAGCCCCGGTCATGGAAAGAACGCAGGCTCAGAGCCACGAGGAGAAGGAAGAGTCCTTTCTTAGCCGCGTTTTAGCTCTGGGAGCTTGGGAAAGTTACCCGCCTCCATTTTTCCATCTGTGAAAGTGGTGCAGTAACACGCATCTCTCACGAGAATCCAAAGTTGAGCCAGTGGTAGGATTGGACACATATTGTTCCTGCCCAAGTGCAGGGAAAGCAGGTGCCACGATGGTGGTCTGGGCCCCAGAGTCCCATGGGCAATGGGATTGTCCCCGTGGAGGTGTGTGTGGCCCGTATCCAGTCTCTCTCTGCCACAGCTCGTGGGGCCGAGTGGAGCCTCTTACCCCCAGGCCTGGGCGGACGTCCGCTCCTGGGAGGACTCGCGATGGGACGGACATCACCTGGGAGTCTGAGCTGGAATCGGCCCCAAGCCACAGCTTATTCCTCCCAGAATCCTGTGCACTCATCAGTGTGAACTGCTCCCAGCTGCGGTCTGGAGACATAGGGGCGTGGCAGGGGCGGAGCTGGGATTTGATTCCGGGTCCCGCTTCCACTGTGAGAGGCCGTCTCCACGCCCAAGGTGGGGTGCTGCCCGAGCCTGCCGCGGGCTCCGGAGCGGGGCTCCTTGCTCTAGGCCCCTGTGTTCCCCTGCCCCCCGGGCCTGGAAAGGGGAGACTGACGCGGCCGCCTCCTCTCTGTCCCCCACCGCGCAGACGTGCAGCACATCAAGCGGCGGGACATCGTGCTGAAGCGAGAGCTGGGCGAGGGCGCCTTCGGGAAGGTCTTCCTGGCCGAGTGCTACAACCTCAGCCCCACCAAGGACAAGATGCTGGTGGCCGTGAAGGTGAGCCCCGGGGCGCGTGGGGGCAGGAGGGGCTGGGGAGCAGGAAGGAGAGGCCCCCTCCTTCAGGTGCAATGGGGCCCTTGCTCCAAGGTCAGCGAGCTGTCCTTGGGACCAACACCCACTTCCTTCCTTTGGCGTCAAAGGTCCGGCTGGCACACACACGTGAGAAACAGGTTTTGCTCGGGAAGGGCCCTGGCCTTCTTCTGGACACCCGGGGCTCAGTCCCATCCCCAGGGGGGTGTCCCTCCCCGCTCCTCAGTGACCTCCCAGGACGTGTCGCTGCCTGCAATGTCACCTGGCCATTGCTCTGAGGGGAGTCGGGTGAGGGTGGGCTCCAGAGGGCACCAGCCATCACTGGGAACGGGCGAGGGGAGGGTGTCGGGCCCTGAGCAGGGAGAGCAGTGCCCACGGGGTGCAGGTGCCGAGGGGGACTGCCTGCCGGCAGCTGCGGGAGGGGCCTGTTCACTGCGGGCTTCTGTGCTGAGCGGGCTGTGCAGCTGTGAGCTCCAGACGCATCGCCCGCCCCGCACCCTCCTGCAGTAAATCCGTGTCCGACAAATCGCTGGACATGATCGGCACAAGCAGGAGTCAAGCCGGGCCGACGTGGCTCAGTGTCTGAGCGTCCACCTATGACCCAGGTTTGATTCTGGGTCAGGGCACAGGCCCGGGTTTCAGGCTCCATCCCCAGTAGGGGCTGCACAGGAGGCAGCCAGTCAGTGATTCTTATCATTGGTGTTTCTCCCTCTCTCTCCCTGTCCTTTCCTCTCTGAAATCAATAAAAATAAAATTTCCAAAAAAAAAAAAAAAAAAAAAAAAGGCAAGTAGCCTCGCCGAGGCTGCGTAAATCCGGGGTTGGTGGCTGTTGTCCCGTAACGTTTTAAATAAACGAGGCGTTGTCTGTGGAGCTCTGCCCTGGGAATGAGTAAGGAGGCAGAGTGTTCCCCCATGAAAGTGGTGGTTACTGCTGGACACCCTGAAATCGTGCTTGCACTGTGGGTCTCCGTAGACACGCAATGGTCAGACAAGATGGGTTTTCATATGGCTTGCACCAGGGGTGTGGGAACGGTTCTCGGTTTATCCCTGAGCTTAGAGTCTGCGCTGCCCTGAACCCTAATTTATAGGATGACACTCATCCGCTGGGCCTGCAGCGCCGCCTGGGAACTGGTGAAGGGCCGGGGCATTCTTGGACTCTGAGCAGGGAGTGAAGTGATGGCCTAAAACCCTGGGAACCGCTTCCCCCCGAGGGCCAGGCAGTGGGGAATGCAGGAAATGTGTGTCTGCTTTCCTCCTTTTGGAAGGTTTTCCTTCTCCCCCGGGGCCTGGGGACCTGGAGGGGATGGGCGCTCCAGGATGCCACACCCTCGGGTACCCCGTGGGCCCAGTGGTGGTGATGGTGGCCATGACAACGGCATCGGACAGACAGTACTCAGCAGGGTCCTGCTGTAGGTGACGTGTGCAGGCTCATGCTTCCTTCTCACAGGAAGCCTCAGAGCCTGGCCCGGTTCTGGTCTCGTCCAGAAGAGGCACAGAGGGACGGTGGGCAGTGCATCCAGGACCCACAGTGGTCAGTGGTGCGGCCAGTTCACGGCCGGGCAGCTCCTCTCCTTCCCCACGAGGGAGTGAGACCCTCACCACGATCATTCCTGCCCCCCCGCTCTGCCTCTCCACGCTCTGTCCCCGGCCACCATTCTCCCTGTGGTTTATCCAGTGGAGGCTTCGTCTCGTCTGCGGCTCTTGCTGTTTAGCCTCAGTGACTGTATAATTTATTTCCGAGATAGCTAATTGGGTCTTGATTTTATTGTTATCTTACTTCTCCCTGTTTTTACTAAATACCTCTGATTTTCTTAATATACTTTTTGCTGATTTCAGAGATGAAGGGAGAGGGAGAGATAGAAACATCTCTGATGAGAATCGTGGATTAGCTGCCTCCTGCACGCGCCCCCCACTGGGGATGGAGCCTGCAATCCGGGCATGTGCCCTGACTGGGAGTCCAACTGTGACCTCCTGGTTCCTAGGTCAACACTCAACCACTGAGCCACGCTAGCCAGGCTGATTGTTGTGACCATTTAGATAGCTTCCCTCCCACCTGACTGAACAGTCCCTCAGACCCAGGGAGCTGGTGCCTAGAGGGGAAGCCTGAAAGGGCAGGGTCCTCAGACGTGGGAGGGAGAGAAGTAGACAAGGGGCCGAATTCCGGCTCCGCTTCTGTTCCGCGGGTCCTGCTGGAAGGGCTCAGAGACCCTGGAGCGTGACCCATGTCCCCGGATCCCGGTGCCACCAACCGGTGACCCACTTTGAAGTTCTGCTCAGAAGAGGACCCCGTGGAGACGGGCTGGGGAGTGTCAGTGATTTTCCTCCTCATTCTCCTCCTCAGGTCATCTCTGCCCCAATTGTGTCAACCCCTGGCCCCTGGCCCCCCATTTGCTGAGCACGACCCTTTGCCAATTACATACCCACTCCGGGTGTGACCCAGGAGTGGGGCGTTTCATGGTGAAGGGTGTGGGTAGACTACGGGCGATGGTGGTGCCTCAGCTCCTGGTGCCTTGCAGGGTGCCAGCCCCGGGCACGCCGGCGGGCACTGCTGGAGTGCTGGGAGCGGAAATATCCAGCGGCTGCCTTTGGCCTCCGGGGCTGCGCGGAGATTGATTTACAGAGATGGGGAGAGGCCATTTGGCTGGCCCCACATGTGATCTACTTTTCCCTCCCATAAGCGCAGGGTTCCCATAAATCTCCGCATTCTCCCATCCCACCCATGCTGGGTTCCTCTCCCCCTCTGTTCTTCCTGAAGATAATAAATCGCTGGCGGTCACCCTATACCCACGCCCCAGCACATGGAGTTCAGGGCCGCCGCCAGGGCTGGGCCAGCCAGAGGCGCCCTCTGCCTTCTCCCACCCACAGCATCTCGCCTTTGTTGGCATCAGCTGGTGAAATGAGCAATGGGCACACGTACCTCAGTTGCAGATGGCCCTGGTCGGGGCCTGTGCGGGAGGCAACCAATCGATGTATCTCTCTCACATCAATGTTTCTCTGTCTCTCCCCCTCCCTCCCACTCTCTCTCTATAAATCAATGGGAAATATTAAAAGTAAAAAAAAGACAATCTTCTTCCTTGGGCACAAGCAGCCTTTATTCTGAGCACCAGGGTTCTGCTCAGGAAGGGGACCAGATCCCTGTCCCCTGGCTGCTGAAAACCTCTGTCCTGCCTCGTTCCCAGGCCCTGAAGGACCCCACCCTGGCCGCCCGGAAGGACTTCCAGCGGGAGGCGGAGCTGCTCACCAACTTGCAGCACGAGCACATCGTCAAGTTCTACGGCGTGTGCGGCGACGGGGACCCGCTCATCATGGTGTTTGAGTACATGAAGCACGGAGACCTGAACAAGTTCCTCCGGTGAGCCCTGACCCCGCCCCACCCCCAACCCCGCATCCTCTCTGCAACCAGAAGTTGTATTTGCGCCTTTGAGCACGAAGGTCCAGGGGTTAGACATGAGAAGCAGCCTTCCGCTCTTCTGCGTCAGCTCCTGGGCTGCTGGATTCAGGCCTTCATCCCTGCTTTGGGGCCATAGGCCCGGGGAGCCCCAGGCCTGGGGGCTCGGTCACTGGGCCCAGCCACCCTGTGTGGTCCAGAGAGTGGACTCAAGAGTCTTCCTACCCAGAGCATCCCTGCTGGGGAGCTTGTAGAAAATGCAAATGAACTAGCTCCACCTAGCCAATCAGAACCCTGGGGGCGGGGCCCAGGGAGCTGATTAACGAGCCCTCTGGATGCTCCTGAGCCGCATGTCTGGCTTCCTCTGCTCCTGCTCACCCCTGTGGTCCCTCTGGGACCTCTGTGACCGTGGTCAGGTGATGTGATCATTTTGTGCCTCGGTTTTCTTATCTCTGGATTGAGGTGGGAGGATTAAGTGACTGAATATATTTAAGATGCTTGGAGCAGGGCATGGGACAGAGTAAGGGTTTTGTTAAATATTCTGTATTAGACCTCTAGAACCTGGGCAGCCCTAGATATAAAGGAAATAGTCTAAAAGAGTAGGTTACTCCCTGACCCAGAGCACGTCTGCTGTCATCTTAGTGTGGAATCTGGATGCAGTGTTTCACCCACATCTGCACTCATACATTTTGCTGTAGACAGAAACAGGCCATGGGCAGGCTGAGAAGGAAGATGGCACGCATTGCTGTGGAGCATTCCAGAAACCTCCTGAATTCTCTCCGCCCCTCCCTTCTCCCCCGACCCCCCCCCCCCCCCCCCGCAGGGCCCACGGCCCAGATGCCATGATCCTTGTGGACGGGCAGCCGCGCCAGGCGAAAGGCGAGCTGGGGCTCTCCCAGATGCTGCACATCGCCAGCCAGATCGCCTCGGGCATGGTCTACCTGGCCTCCCAGCACTTCGTGCACCGGGACCTGGCCACCCGCAACTGCCTGGTGGGGGCCAACCTGCTGGTGAAGATCGGGGACTTCGGCATGTCCCGGGACGTCTACAGCACCGACTACTACCGGGTAAGGGGGCTCCTCCACCGCAGGGCTCCGTGACGAGTTAGCGCCTCGCTTACGTGTCTTCGTCCTTGTCCATTAACCCCGTCACTCGGAGCACACGCAGACACAGCCCACACGTGCCCTCAGCGACTCTCCTCTGGCCACACCTACACCCTGGCACCTGTTTATTATTCCTTCTCCTGACACTGAAAGGCCATATGCATCGTGTTCTCACTTGTGTCATTAGCTAACACTCATCCTTCGTGCAACTATATACATGTATATAGATTTGCACGGATGCCCGCAAGTGCACACGCAGACAAACCCCACGTGGTGCTAGCTTTCAGCGCCTCCGAGTCAGATTCCCATCCAGCCCGCCCACAAGCACATTGGCGTCTCGGATTCTCTGCTGACCATGCAGCTCGATTTCAAAGGCAGTTCTTGACCAGAAGCCAGAACCCAACGTAAAGGAGCAAAATGGTTCGTGTTGCGCTGAGCGTAGCTCTCAGCGCAGCGTAGGAAAGGTGAGGGAAGGGAGCACGTGACCCCTGCCCGCGCTGGAGGGGGCGCCGGTGAGAAGCAGCTTTCTGATCGGGGGAGGAGGCCTCACGTCCAGTTTCACACTGCGTGCTTGTCTGCGTTATCAGGAGTCTTATTTTGCTCCCAGGCTTTTCCCCCCTTGGTCTTGGGGAATTATCTCCCCACGGATCATTGAGTGGTTCTGACAGTGTTGTTATTGCCAGCGAAAGTGGGCTGAGTGTCATTTAACTCAAAAAATAGCAGAGGGGGCAGGGAGGGGATATAGGTGCAACCTGAGATACAGAGACAGAATAACTTCTGCAGACTGAATGCAAGTCAGTTGCTTGGAAAATATGGAACACTTATTTCGGGGGACATTGGAGGGGTGAGGACTTGCGGCGTGCGGCACAGGGAGAGGGTGGGGCGGTGTCTTCGGGGCATGGCAGCCATCTGTCCCATGTTCGTCAGGAGTGGGTGACCATAGTGTGAGCAAAGAGCTCATGGCTGTGCCATTGGCTCTCGCATGTTGCAATAGGCTGGGGCTTGGCGCCTGCAGGGCAGCTCTGCCCGCATGTTCCTCCTGCGGGCTCTGTCTAAGCAGGACGTTAAAACGAGTCACTCAGGACGTGTCACCTTAGCCCGGGGCCTCAAGAAAAACAGGAGGGAGGGTTGAGAACGCCCTTTGTGGTCGGGAGGTAATTTGTTCATGGGATAGACAGAGGCTGGCCGATGACAGAGCATCAGGAGAGCATGTGAAGCAGAAGTAGACAGACAGCTGGGGAGGGTGTGTGTCTGCAGCAACTGGTCGGTTTCTCGAGCCACCGTCCCCAGCCACGGGGAAAGGAGCAGGGAGCGGCGGTCGCCAGACGGATGGCCGGGGCGGGCCTGCCGGGAAACAGCCCCGCAGAGCCAGTCTTTAGCTTCTAGACCCCTGCTTTCCAGTCATTTTGAAGACAGGCATCGGCCTGGTTCCTCAGGGCCCGTGGGTCACAGATTTCTCGGGTCTCGCCGGAGCTGGCACCGTTTAATTGCCTTTGCGCTCCGCGTAATGGGGTTTGCTGGCCTGTCTGGCTCGCTCCGCTCCCTGTCGGTGTTGATAAAAGCGAGGGGCGGCTCGTTGTTTTTCTGGGCGAGGGAGATGTTTGATTAGGCCGGCCTGGCCTCCGCCGGCTTCCCCGGGGCCCTGGGAAACAGCATCTGACCGGGACGTGTGCAGACTCGGCCTGCAGACTCGCCTCCAGGAGTGCACTGAGTATTTCTCCATTCTGGTTCCAAAGAGGGAAGGAAAAAAAAATCACATCTTCCAGCGATACCGTGGCGCCCTTGCTTTAACAACTGCGCACTGCTGCTCTTTCCTCCCGGGAGAGCGCCAGGGAGCGAATCCGTCTCATTTCCGTGGGCACCGGGCAGATTGGAATTGAGGAACGGGGAGCCTGGGGGGACTGTCCACGTGCCAGGCACCCGCAGTGCCTTTGTCGTGCCGGCCAAGCCAGGTGTGAGCTGAAGCCAGCTGGCTCGAAAACGTGTCTTCAGTCCCCAGAAAGTATGAAATAGAGACGGGTAGCTGTTGCAGTGAGAACTCAGGGCGTCCCTGGAAAGCTGCCTAGTCCATTGATGGAGGGTAGGCCCTGGCCTGTCCACATTCAAAGAGCAGCTTGTATCCCATCTCCATGTCCAAGGTGCTAATGTATGCACAGCCCCTCCCCCTCAGGGGAAAAAGGAAGGAAGCGATTGGCCAGCAGAAACATCAATCATGCACCTGGAAGTCCTGCTGTCCTATTGGAAGGCATCAGGGAGACAGGGGCATTCTGCACTGGAGCCTGACTTTACCTGTTGTGCTTACATCCCAACCCCACCATGGGGTTGGCAGCCACGGGGCCTGGTGCCCTTTCCTCACCTCTGTTTTAACTTCCCACTTTAAGAACAAGGACAAACACAGCCTCTCCACGGAGTTGTTTTGATGGTAAGCAAGTTCATTAGCGCCAGGAGCCTGGGATACACGCCTTCCTGGATAAATTATTATGTATACTTTTTTCCTTAGACCCCTGCTCACCCAGACAGGAAACCCCGGGGAGGATCTCATTTCCAGAGGCCATTCCTGAGTCGGAGAGAGGAATCTCTGGGCCGCTGGAAAATCAACTGGGGTCACACAGCCGCCCCATGGGAGAAGGCTTTAAGGTGGCCACTCTGGCAAAGTCCCTTCATCTTAGTCGGCGCTCGGCTGCTCCGGTCAGTGCCTGCAGGGTCCTGCCATGGATCTCCGAGCCACGGCCATGTCCGGGGATTTAGGAAAGCTGTGTCTGCTCCGTGTCCCAGCTGAAGCCCCGGGGAGAGCAGGGATTTGTTGGATGAGAGGGCCAGGCGCCGAGGACTCTCTGCAAGCTGCCCCAGCACCGGCCTGCTCCTCTCTGCTCCTCTCTGCTCCTCTAGAGCCTAAAGTCTGTCGGGCCCGGGAGCTTGCTGGTTTCTGGTGACTAATAAAGCTAAATGATGAAGATTCAGGCGTGTGTGCGTGTGTGCATGTGTGTGTGTATGTGTGCACACGCATGTGTGCCTGTGTGTTATCTGTACACACCTACCTACCCAGGGCTGATTCCTCGCTGTGTATAGCAGGGCCGGCGGAGAGGTAGAGATAAACTCTCTGCCTTATGTTCTTTCTTTTTCATTTTTAATTTCTTAGAACAAACAGGCACCATCTGGCTCAGGCACGAGCGGTATGCAAACAGTTTACTAAGGTGAACTGCCTAATTTCCTGCTACACGCTCAGAGAGGGAAGCAAACATCTCTGCCTCGGGGTGCCAGCGCCCTGAGTTCCTGCCTCTTAGGGCCGCCTACAGGATGCTTCTGAGCTTGCCTCAGACCGGCTCTGGCAGGGTGCTTGGAATAGAACTGTGACCTCCTGGTTCATGGATTGTTACAACCACTGAGCCACACTGGCTGGGCCTGTGCTTCAGTTTTAAGAGCGGGTGCCTGGTGCTGACCGGAGACACGGCCGAAAAGCAGACATGCAGAGAGGCTCAGAGCTTCAGCTGCGCAGCATCCGCCGCAGGGCTGGGAGCCACACTGCTCGGATCTTTGCAGAACCCCGTAAACGCCAAGCCCCGCGAAGCTGCACACGCAGCAGCGGGAAGGAGCGCGGAGGGAGGAGCGGAGGACAGGCATGCTAATTATAGTATCACATTCCTGTTTCCCCGATTAAAGCCTCGGCTTTGCACACTAATTATCTACAGCGTATCAGACATCTTGCAGGTCTGCTCTTTAGGGCTCTCGCCGCTCCGCCAGCGCCGTGTCCATGTGGCCAATTAGCGGCTCCCTTTCATCTGCCAGGCCTGGAGCGCGGGCCCAGCTTCTGTGGTCTCTTTCGGGCTCTGCCTTCTGAGGGGCTAAGTCCCACGGGGGATAAGCGAGCAGAAGGCGGGATTTCTTCAGGCGGGAGGCAGGGCAAAGGTCCGAGAACACGGCCACGGCTCCGCTCCGGATCAGGCACTTCTGCTTTGCCCCAGGCTGCGGCTGGTCAGACCCGAGCCCCCCTCCCCTTCTGGGAAAACAAGCAACAGCCTTCAGTTGGGAAGAGGCTCTGCCCACAACCCCTCGATCCAGGCGAGTGACTGAGGTTTGCTTTTCTGCTCTTCCTTCTTCCTCTCCTTTGAGCCATGCAGGGTAATTGGCCAAATTCAGCCGGGAGGGCAGAGCGTCACTGGGAAGACCTCCTTGGTGCTTTCTCGGCCTCGGTGCTTCCAGACCCCAACCTGCCTGGACCAGATTATATACTTGGTGTCAAAACACAGTGGTGGTGCCGAAACCGGTGTGGCTCAGTGGATAGAGCATCGGCCTGCGGACTGAAGGGTCCCAGGTTCAATTCCGGCCAAGGGCATGTACCTGGGTTGCGGGCACATCCCCAGTAGCGGCTGTGCAGGAGGCAGCTGATTGATGTTTCTCTCTCATCAGTGTTTCTAACTATCTCTCTTCCTTCCTCTCTGTAAAAAAAAAAAAAAAAAAAAATCAATAAAATAAAACACAATGGTGGTGCTGGGGTATCCACCTGCCACGCAGGCATGCGCGCCACAGCGTGCAGAAGGGACTATGGGGCGGGATCTGGCGTGCTGGGCCTGGGACACGCCGGCAGTCTGGTGTGGGGGTGACTTGCAGAGGAGGTGCTGAGCGGGAGGTTGACGGGGCAAACCATGGACCCTGACAGGGAGGTGAAGCAGTTCCTTGGACCCTTTCCCCCATAGGCCTAGGGTGCGGGGCCAGTTGCTCTAACGAGGGCAGTCACGGGAGGCTTGTCTCCTGTGTCCGTGTAAATGAGGCTGCGAGTGAGGACCCACCATCAGCAGTGGCGTGTAGGATGGACAGCTGGGGACCGAAGCCTCAAGGCGAAGGCAGGCCATGACAAGGGTCCCGGGAAGAGGCGACGAGGCCCCTGCTCCCCTGTCGGCGTGGCGTGTGGAGGGGAGGCCTGGGAAGGTGACCTGAGGCCAGGCCAGGGCGCTCAGAGCCTCTTC